GACTCAAGCAATCAAGACTCTACATTTCTAGCAAGCTGGCAGGAGCCCTCAGGGTTGCAGCACGACCTGACCTCCTGTGAGGAAGACAGTGCCAAGCCGTAACTAGAAACTTTATCAGCAAGTTTCTACAATGCCTCCGGAGACATAGGCATGGAGATAGCTGTTCACCTTATGGATGGCTCTAGAAATATAAATTCGGGAATCAGAGTAATCGACAGACCTCCAGTCCTTTGAGGGAGAAAAAGTCATGGAGGAGGGAGCTTGTTGTTTGGTGCTGCCTGCAGAAGATTCCAAAAGTCTCTAGGGACAATCTGCAGAGTTCAGCTCCTTAGGAGCTCCGGACTTCTGCAATTAGATAATTCTGTCCAAGCAAGGCAGAATTGGCTGCATCCAGGGACTGGGGTGTCAGCACACCCCTGGAGCCAACGGCACTACAACCGCCCCTCCAAGAGGTGCAGCCCCGCCCTCCAGGAGCAAAGACACAACCAGCAGTCCCTGGCTTTCCAATTCTCCCAGCAGCGTTAGCCAGGCTGCAACCTGGAGCTTAAGATCAGGGACAAAAGATACGCAGGCGCCAGCACCACCTGGCGGCCCAGCGTCCACACAGCCGGCCCTGTGAAGGAACGGATCGCTTTACATCGCAGGCAGGTCCCTCATAGAACAGGCCTAACAGCCCCTCTCTGCTGGGTTAAATTTGCGCAGTAAGCAGGTCTCTGAAATGTAGCCACCACCTACAAAACTCCAGATGCAAGGGAAGGCTGGGTTTTCAGCGACCGGTAGTTCAAAGTGAGCAACAAGCCTGCCGACAGACGCTGGGATACAATTAAAAATTATAGTCCACTCGCAGCTCCAGGCCCCAGACAAGGGGGCACTTAGGGAGATGTACAAAAGAGGAGTGTCCAGAAGAATCTGCAGCTAAGAGCACTTGTCGCTCTTTCAAAGGACCAGGAGTTCGGTTCCCAGAACTCACAGTGAGCAGTGCACAAACGCGTAAAATCCCAGATTCAGGGAGTCTGACTCCTCCCTCCGCTTACACACACACACACACACACACACACACACACACACACACGCAGATGTGCACACACCACATGCATAGAGACACATAGAGAGATACCACATGCACCCATGCACACACAAGCAATAACTGGCATTGGGTAGTTTCAGAGTGACAAAGTAATGCTAAGGACACTACAGGCATTGTCTCCATGCATATACACACATATATATACACACACAACAAGCACACATGTGCATGTACACACAATTTAAAGACAGGAAAGAGGGAGAGAGATCATGTGGGCAAAGCAACAACCAGCAGGCTTTCCTGAGCCTACCAGAAAGTCTGGAAGACAGCAAGATGGGGAGCGCTCTGGGAAGAGCACCCCTCGCCTCCCCTTAGCCACCCTGAAACTTGCAGGCAGAGACTGCTCGTTCGTGTCCCGGACTTCCCACATCAGAAACTGTCCAAACTGCGCGCATCCATTTCCCGCCCTTTGTACCGCACAGTGTTTTAGGAAGTAGTCATCCAGCAGGCAGCACGGGAGGCTGCCAGCCCAGTGAGCAGCAGAAGGCTGAGCAGGAAGCGTGCAGGAGAAAAGGGGCGCCCTGTGGGGGTGCGCAGGTGGACAGCGCCCTTGAGGGGGCAGTGCTAAAGCAGGGGGAGAAGGTGGGAGCCCTGTAGGCTGCAGGGGCGGGCGTTCTGAGCAGACAGCAGGAGTGCAGGGACCTGGGACTGCAGGGTGGCCTGGGAATGAGCAGCGCACGGGAGCACGGGTCATCAGCTCCACACTGGGGGAGACGCGCAGTCTCCTTAAGGACCTGGCTATTGCCCTGAGACCGTCACTGTAAGGGTATCCAGAAGGGATTTTGCACATAGTCTGTGCCTTGCTGGCCAGCATCGGGGGTTTCTGGGATTTGGGATGTCCAGGGCAACCATGACACGGGTCACTTTTTGAGTGGGTGGGACGAGAGGCAGATGAAAGTCATTCCAGAACCCCCCCCCCCCGGCCAGGTCTTACGTGGGGTGTATCACAGATGGTGACAGGCTCTCCCTAGTGGCAGACCCAGACTCACCTGCCACTACTGTCCCAGTGACCTCCAGGCAGAGTGGAAGAGACTGCATTGCGGGAGCACCACAAATGCAAGTCACACGGTGAAAGCAGCCAGGTGAACCCAGTGAGACAGAGCAGATCCCGAGTTTTCTCAAGGCCGCTTCAGGTATAAGCGTTGCCACAGAGAACCTGTCCTCTTGTGCCTTTTCCTGGTCTTCCTAATAAACGCCAGTTTGTTCTTCAAAGCCCAGCCCATCTTTGTAAGCTCTTCCTTGTCGCTGCCACCTGTGAGTCCTCCCTCCTTGCTCTCCCGTTCTGACCCTAAAGGTGTCTCTAAAGTGACCGAATGTGCCCACAGGCTTTCTGTGTGGGTCCTGTCGTTGTGCACGCGGGGTGTGGGATGAGTCAGATTTAACACACAAGCTAGCACCCCCAGAGTAAAGATGGGTAAGGCCCAAGGAGCCGCTCCCTTGAAGGAGGCCATCTTGACCTCAGGGGGACAGGAACGCCTGGCCTCCGGGAGCTGTGGGGAGTCCATTGAGGGCACCGAGTGCCGACCAGCACTGGGAGGGCATCCAGCCCTCCCGGAAACCGCAGCCTGGCATCAGCCCGGTCATGGGGGCACTGCAGGCAGCTCTAGCCTCTTCCTGCCTTAGCTCCATTTCCCTCAGTGTCTCCCCTTCCTCGCCACCCTGTCATTTCCTCTCCTCCTTTCATATTTGATAATGACCACAAGCCATTTTAATCTTGAGAAAATTATATTATAAAGGTAATTTAACTAAAAAAAAAGCATTCATCTCATTTAAAAGACCACACACCCACACATACACAACACACACACACTCTCTCTCTCTCTCTCTCTCTCTCTCTCTCTCTCTCTCTCTCTCTCTCTCTCTTCATTGTCTTTTGATTAAATAAAAAGTCTACAAAAAATGACCAGGGGTAGTAAAGTTAAACTAAGCTGAGGATAGAGTATGTATCTTGGAACTTTATGAAAAATGTTTTTAATCAAAAGGCAATATCAGAGCACCCAAACCAATGTATGCAAAGGAAGAGAGAGAAATAATGAAGGGCCCTGTGGCTTACATAACCAAAAAGTGCCAGGAGGAAGACATGTTAGTCAGCCCGCTTCCCATTGCTGTGACAGGATGCCGGGGGAAATCACTTCAAGCGGGAAGAAGTTTTTGCAGATCCAGTGTTTCTGAGGCTTCAATCTACGGTTATTTAACCTCATTGCCTCAGGCCCTGCGGCGAGGTAGAAAAACAGCAGCTCATTGAGATTTCATGTGCTTTCATGTGTGTGCTTTGGCTGTTCAGGCAGTTTGCTTATTTAAAAGTGAATTATTATATTGTTATTTTTATGTGTTCCTGTGTGTGTCTGTGTCTGCCTGCCTGCCTGTGGGTATGTCCACAAAAGTGCAGTTGCCCATGGAGGCCAGAAGAGGGCGTCAGATGCCCTGAAGCTGGGATCACAGGTAGTTGTGATCCACCAAACATGAGTGCTAGGACCTGAACTCAGATCCCCTGGAAGTTGAGTCATCTCCCCAGCCACAGATAATCGTTTTTTAATTATGAGCATTCTGCATATGTCCTAGATGCAAGACCCTTAGCTGACAGATAACTTCAACAATTTTCTCCACTTCCTGATGTTTTTCCACGTTCTTGATACTGACCTTTAACTGCACAGAACTTTCTTTTGATAAGGCCATATCTTGACCAAGTCCTATTGCTTCTTCTAGTGGTGCCATTTTCTTCTATGAGTTTTATGTCTTTACTTCTCACGCAGAGATGCCTTTTTATATATGGGTGAGGTAAGGGGTAATTATATTTTTATTCTTTTTTTTTTTTGGCATGTGGACACCACTTGTTACAGGGGCACTAGCAAAGAGGCTGTTATTCCCATTTAATGATTGTGACATCCTTGCTGGAGACTAAGTGGCCGTGGATGATTGTCTCTCTGTTCAGAATCTCAGCTTTATTACATTGCTACACATGTTAAAAGCCAGAGAGCGACCACTGCGTCTTTGGTCAGGATGTGACATCTGCTCTTCCTTTCCAGCGTTGCCTCAGCTGTGTGGGGCTCCTGTGATCCCCTCTGAACCGGCTCTTGGAATTGTCACAAGGATTGCATTGAAGCCGTAGACATTGGGTAGTGCTGCCGCCTGAGCGGTATGGAGTCTGCTAGCCTGTGAACGTAGACTATCATTCCATTTGCCTAGATTTATCTTCAGCATTAACCTTGCAGTTTTCTGTGTAGGAATCTTTCATTTCCTTAGTGAAGCTTATTTTAGTCTTTAGGAATCTTTTTTAAAAAATACTATTTTCATCTATTGTCTGAGAATGTCACAGATGAATACGGTGTATTTTGATCATATCCACCTTCCATCCCCCCTCCACTTCTCCTGGGCTCCACCCCAACATATCACTCTCTCAATTTTCTATCATTTTTTAACACACTGAGTCCAATAAGTGCTACCCATCTGTGTATGGGTGTGAGCCCATCCCCTGCAGCACGGGACAGCCTACTGACATAGGTGTATGGTGTGAGCCACCCCTGGAGCATGGGACAGCCTACTGACAGTCACACCACTGGAGCCATGATTAGTTTTATATTGATTATGGGAAAGAATCTTAAATGATCTGAAATATGATCGCGCATTATGCCCTACTTACATTTAGGAGAAAACAAATAGTCATTTGCCACTCAACTTACAGCAGGGCTTGTTGATCTCGAAGTCACCTTCTCCTCCCAAGGGATTTAAACCAAGATGTAGGCAAGGGGCGGGGCTTGATCATGACTTGTCAAGGGGCGGGGCTTGATCATGACTTGTCAAGGGGCGGGGCTTGATCATGACTTGTCAAACAACTACTGACTTATGTTACTCCTTTCAATGCATTTCTGTTTATTCTTCGGGAAGTTCCTACATGTATACAGAATATTTTGGTAATATCTGCCCCTTACTTTCCCCTCCAACTCCTCTCAGACCACGGCCATGGCCTGCTCCCAACCTCGTATCCTCTGTTTTTAACCCTCTGAATTAGTGCTGCCCAGATGCACACGGGTGTAGGATGGGGCCACACACCAGAGCATGGATACCAGGAGCCACGCCCCTGAAGACAAATGGTTCTCCCTCCACAAGCTCCACCAACAACCAAGAGCTCCTGAGCTAGAGCCAGAGCCTTGAGAGCTGGTCCCTAGCCATGGAGGAATTTCGGCTGTCATGGTCTTGGGTAGGTTTGTGCAGGCAGCCACACTGGGAGCTCATGAGTGCAACCGTCCAGTCATGTCCAGAAGACAGCGTTTTTGTGGCCGTCTTCCTCAGTCTCTAGCTCTTATAAGGTTTTCTGTCTCCTCCTCTATAATGTTCCCTGTGCCTTTGAGAAGTGTGGCGTTGATGTTCCACGGAGGGGCCTGTCAGTCCACTACATGTGATCATCATTCATCCTCAGCCTTCAAGCTGTAAAGAGGACCCAACCTAAGGACAGGCTGGGACACCAGAGAACCACGGGATGTACGAAGATTGGTGGGCTTCATGAAGGTAAACTGTGTGTCACTGTGGCAGCTCCCACCCCACAGTGAGGTAACTCTCCTGAGGACGACAACAGGAGTGGGGGCAAGTCCACACCTCATGATGTTTCCCAGAAAGTCTCGGCCCAACCTAACATTTCTGACACAGGAAACCAGATGAGACTCAGAGCCTGAGTGAGGCTGGCACCATGCATACGAGACTTTGCTGTGTCCTGATGGGAACAGCACATTCTGGGACCAAGAAGGACCATGGAAGAGACAGGTGCTTAAAGGGCAAGTGGCCATGCCATCTACTGGCCCTCTCTGTGGCACAAATAGAGAATCCATGGCCCAGCAAGACATGCTCCCCACACAAACCTGGCAACCTGAGATCAAGGCCCAGAATCCAAGTAAAGATAGGAGAGGACCAGTTCCACCAAGATGTCCTCTATGACCTCCACATACGTGAACTCACACGCGCACACACACACACACACACACACACACACAAATAAAATAATAATAAATTGTTTCCTTTAAAGGGGGCATCCACGGGCCCCAATTCCTCTTACATTTCCCCCATTGTCTGGGCTCAGGAGGCTCCTGCACTCTGGGCAGTTGGTTCTGGGCTTATGGCCACCCTTGGTTAAGTAGACAGAGATCTAGGAGAAAGAACGGAGCACATGCTGGCGCGCAGCACATCTGGGAAAGGCTACCTAGAAGGTGACCTTTGTACGTGAGTCCCACTAAGTCACTACATGGAGCCCCAGGAAGCAGTCCCCAGTGGCTTGCAGGAATCTTTAGGAGACTCTGTTGCACTGCCCAGTGACCTTGGAGCTTTTTATACCCGCACTCATCTCCTCTCCGGACTTCTGGGCCTATCCCTCTCCTTCCGGTGTAACTGTGTTCTGACATCTGCATCTTTATTCAAGAGCTAGAAGGCTGGAGAGATGGCTCAGACGTCAAGAGCACTGTGTCCAGATGTGTCCTGAGTTCAGTTTCCAGTACCCACATGGTGGCTCACAACCATCTGTCATGAGGCCTGGTGCCCTCTTCTGGCCTGCAGACACACATGCAGGCAGAACACTGTGTACATAATAAATAAAAGAAAGAAAGAAAGAAAGAAAGAAAGAAAGAAAGAAAGAAAGAAAGGAAGGAAGGAAGGAAGGAAGGAAGGAAGGAAGGAAGGAAGGAAGGAAGGAAGGAAGGAAGGAAGAAAGAAAGGAAGAAAGAAAGAAAGAAAGAAACCCAGCTATTAAAGAGATTTTAAAGAGAGAGAGAATTAGAATGCTCACACACTGCTGGTTCCACTTTCAGATGGTAAAATGCTTCAACTGCTTCAGAAAACATTTCAAGTCACTGTCCGTCACAGAGGAGAGGAGGAAGCCCAAAGTGGCAAGGCTGAGCCCTGAACTGCAAACCTCAGGAAGGGCCCTGCAAGCAGCGTTTTGAAGTAGCTGAAGTGAGATCAGGGTAAACTCAGCTCTAACAGAGCAGCTAAGCAGCCTGTGCTGGGAAACTATTTAAAAAACGGATTTGAAAAGTGACTTAGGAGTATTCCCTGCTTGGTTTCTGGCTAATGTAAACACTGAAAACAGATTAATCTGTGGGGAGGAGGGAGGAGGTTTATGTTCTGAATGTGGGCGCCAACATTTCCAGGCAGGGACTTGGTGTCTCGGGGACAGAAGGGAAGGGGGAGGGCCTGGGCAGTGGAAGTTCTGGCATGTACTGGGCTCTGCTCCCAAGCAGCTGAGAGGCTCAGCACATTTGACCGCTGTCTCTGTTTCCCCATGGCGCCAGGAGTTGCCTCTCCTGGAAAGCTTTGTGTGGCTGGCAGCCTTTGGCCGGGCCATGCTTTCTCTGTCTATGGGTCCCGTCTCTGGTGCTTGCCTTCGGGTGTACTGGGGAAGGTACAGTAACAGAGTGTGTTCCTGTTTTATCCATTATACACACAAGCCAAAAAAGAAAGAAAAATCTCTCTATCGTCACCACCCACTTCTGCAGGGCTTTCTAAATCCATCGAAAGTCGCACACAAACAGCCCTTCTGCCTGCTGCAGCATCCCAGCAAATGAGAAACCCTTCTCAATGTTCTGCACTGCAGATATTTCAGGACGGGTTTTAAACGGCTGCGGCTGCGCAGTAACAGAAACTTACGGAGCAAGCTGGCGATCGTGGGTCGGTGTTTCCAAGAGCGTCAGTTTTCTCATCGCTACTGAATTACAATGTCATGCTTATCTTCGGGGACCAAATGCTCCCATCTCTCCATTAAATTCGCCGTGCGCCCCTGTCAGATGCTGGCACTGGCCCCGAACTTGCTTTTATTTTCCACTTAATCTGCAAAATGAAGGTTTCAGTCATGCTGTGGCCACTATGAAATCGGTTAATTTGGCCCCGGCTACAGAAGGCCATGGCCCCTGCTCCACTGCCCCTGCTCCAGATGTACGGTAGCAGCTCTGTCCTGCATGTGGTGGTCTGGACACAGAAACTAGGGCCTTGTCCCAAGGAAAACATCCATGTTTCAACAATGAGTCTCCATGTCTAAGCTGTCTTAGCATGGTGAGGTGAGCTTTGGGGGGGGGGTGTCTCCAGTTTTGAATACAAATCCTGGCCCACCACCCTCACTGCTTACAATCACCACAGGAAAAATATAATCAAACTATTAGAAAATACAATCAAACCATTAGAAAATACAATCAAACCATTAGAAAATACAATCAATCAAACCATTAGAAAATACAGGCTTATGAAGATACCATTTGCCCCCAGAGAGCCTGGTATCCCAGAGACTTTTCCAACTCAGGTTTTATTATACATGGGTCACTCAAAAAGATGACAGCTGAGCTTCTCTGCCTTCTAATTCCTGCTTCAGTTAACTAGCTTTTCATCCAGAATGAGACGCAAAATTAGAGGAGGGTGATTTTTTACGTCAGGGTCACCCACTGTTCACTGTTCAGCCTGCTAGATCCCCAGCTTAGACCTGGATTAGTGAGGGAGAAGAGAAGGAGGAAAAGGCAGTGTTAAGATCCACATCCAGCTTGAGCAGAAGCCTAGCTCACAGCGCAGGGCTGACGATACGGCAAATTCCGCCAACCCCAGTGTCGCTCATCCCCACACGAAGTCAGAGACTTCTGTCCAGAGCCCCTTGCAGGAGCCTCTAGGCTACCCCAGAAGCATGCAGGGACGGAACAGGCACACCAGCAGACGTCCAGCCAGGCCTCCTTCCTCTCTGCTGCCCCTACTTCCCAGCTTATCCGCAAAGGGTCCTCAGGAGGCAGGTAGGAGCCATCCCTGGGGAGGAGGCCAGCAATCCTTCCACAGTGTGGACAAGGGGAAGGATGGCAGCTGGAGACAGCGTGGATGCTCCATCCAGGAACGTCACCATCTTTTGCAGCCACTGATGTAACATGTCCCCACCACAGCTGACCTGTCCTTAGGGAGTACTCCCCACAGGCCATGGGAGCCCCAAGAGAGAAACTGAGGCAGTGAGGTCATGGTCTCTAGTGGCTTTAGCTGTGCCTCTGGTCTTCAGGCAAGATTTATTTATGAAAATACAAATTATATACCACTACAGAATGTCGTGCTAATGGCCATGGAACCTCCAATAGAGAAGAACGGTAGAACCCCAACAACTGGAGGATGTGCTAATGGCCAGTGGGGCAGCTTCACGAGGAAAGGGCCATTTATAACTTCTAAGTTGTTGCTTTTTTTAAAAAAAATGTATTCTGTGCATGCGTACATGTACACGTATGTGTATGTGCATGCATGTGTGCATGCATGTGAGCTCAGCTGTCTATGGAGGCCAGAAAAAGGGCATTAGATCTTCTGCATCTGGAGTTACAGGTGCTTCTACATCATCCTCAGTGGGTATTAGGGACCAAACTCCAGTCCTCCGCAAGAGCGGCAAGCGTTAACCACTGAGCCTTCTCTTTAGCCCCTTAATTTATTCATCCTTTTGTCCCCATTTCAGTTTTGTCCTCAAATCTGACTCAGAGGCTAAGTGTGGATGCTTACTAAATTACAGACTTTCGATACATATATATGTATGTCTCAGAAAATACATGTCTCATCTGATTCCTGAGGCACTTCAAAATATATAGAATACAGAGATTCGCGTGCTGTAGAATTCATTGTGTTTTCGACATTGGAGTATTACCAAGTGTCAAGTACTATCTAGTGTCTACCATCAAGTATTTACTGAGTTCTATATGCCAAAGTAATCTAGTTAGGGAACAAAACTAGTGTACAAAAATGTACCAAGTCAACAGATTTACTAAACTCCAGGGCTGACAACCTAGTTGAGGAAATACAACTTTCATTAAAACTGTGTTGATAACAGTAATGAGTCAAAGGAACGCTAGTCAGGGGGAAGGAAACCTTCGGGCTATGTGATGGCCACCAGTATCTGTATAGTTCACAGACGAGTTAGGACAACAGACCAAAAATGATCAGGATGCTGAGATGCCAGCTAGAACTTCCTCAGCAGGGACGGCAAGGTCCTTCAGGGAGGAAACAGCAAGAATGGAAGCATGGGGGCTGCTGCCCACTTCCCGGAAGCCGTGACAAGACACAGCAGGTCTTCCGTGGTGCACATCACAGAAACACAGGAAACACGTCATCCTCCCTTCACGTTTAATTTACAGCCCATCCCTGTGTTGAGGTTCAGGGCAGAAACGTAAGCAAGTGAGTCACTTAGGGGTGCTTACTGCCTAAGCCTCAGCTTCTCGCCTCCTCCCTGCCCATACCCACCTGGCCTCAGCAGAGAGTTCTGGAAATGCCCAGAGGGAGTGGCCAGCAGACACTCCCCATTTGGCTCCGGGCCACAAATCTTGGCAGTGTGCTTCTGCATTACCTAGTAGATGGGTACACCCGTCCTTCCCCACAATCCTTGACTAATGCAGTCTCTGGGGACGTGGGAGATGGGTCAATGGGTTCTCCTCTTCCTGACAGAGTAACTGGCACTTTTGCAAAATCCAAACTCCTTCTGAGAGCCTGGGTCAGCAAGATCAGGGGCTCCCTAGTCAGTAGAATGGTGGGATTACATGTGAAAGACTGTCAGCCACTGTGTGAGGGCCACCTCCACAATGGAGACCATGGGTCACGGCTCGCAGTCAATTAAATGCTTAGTTTTCTTTAAGCTTTTTTTTTTTTTCTCTAACATCTATCTCGGGAAAACTACTGTCAGGTGAAAAGGGACGTCTCTCCTCCCTCAGAAGCAAGACTATAAACAAGTGGATGAATGCCGAAGACTCAACATCATCCAGCTAACTGTTCCAAACCCCAGTCTGCACAGACTGCAGCTGTCCCACAAGGAGCAAGAAAACCTCTGTGCAAACAAATGCATTTAATCAGATCTAGGTAGGAACCTGGCGTACCTTGCAGAACCAGAATATGCAGCCATACGCACTGATGGAGTAAGTCAGTGAACTTTGTGTGCATTGTGGGCAGTGTACCAGTGTATCCCAATGTAAGCATTGGGACTCGGTTCCCAACACTGGGGATGGCATCAGGCAAGTCAGAAGGCAGAAGAGATGAGGGCAGTCGAGCACGTGCCTGCAGGTCATTTCCATGAAAAGGAGCTGATGGCGTTACTGATTTAGGATTGTGTCAGGAGATTCTGGGTAACATGCCTCCCCAGGCCGTTTGACACTTGGCCCTGGGGTGACCAGAGCAGGCACATGGTGGCCATGAGAAGTCATAATGGAGGAGGTTGTGGAAATGTGGGTTCTGGGATGGACAGTCTGCCTCTGTGGACATCTGCAATCCTGTGGATAAGTTCTACGCGGCCTCTAGCAATAGGGTCAGCAACAGTCTAGACGTGAAAGAATCAGAACACGGAAAACAAAAGCATTACCTGAGTCCGGTCAGGGAGCGTCAGGCTCTGGTGGTTTGGACGAGCTGTCCCTCACAGTCTCGGTCCTCACTGGGCACACTCTTTGTGAGGGTTGATGAGGCACGGTCTTGCTGAAGGCAGTGTGTCCCTGCAAGTGGACTCTGAGAGTTAGGCCAGTGCCATATCCAGTTCACAGCCTCAGCTGTGCTCTTTCAGTGTGGAGCCCTCAGCTTCTGCTTCCCACCGTGATAGACTCTCATGGCCTGGGAGCTGTAAACCAAATAAACTCTTCCTTAGTTACCTCAGTCCTGCTGCCTTTTCACAGCAGCAGAGACGTAACTAATAATACACAAGCTTATTCTGAAACACTGCTCCCCTGCCCTGTACACACAAACACAGACGCGTGCACGCGCGCGCACACACACACACATATGCACACAAAGACACACACACATACATACATATATACATACACATACATATACACACATACATAGACATACACACCACACATACACACATGTACACATTCACACACACACACACCCCTCAACCAGGTCTTTAGAAAGACCAAGAGTCTTTATGAGCTCAAAGAGAAAGGAGCTAAAACCCTGAGGCCCAAATCAGCCCCTTCAAGCTCGAATAAGCATAATGACAACCACCTGTGCTTCCTAACAACATCCTGAAGACGTTATACGCTCTGTGTGTGCGAGACACTTGTGTATTGCACCACCTACTCTACAATCTCCCATCAAGGAGAGACGGGAAGGTGCCACCCTCCTCTTTAATCTGATCCATGCAGTCTGCCCACTGCTGCAGACACGCTACTGTGCTCACCGCTGCAGACATGCTACTGTGCCCACCGCTGCAGACCTGCTACTGTGCCCACCGCTGCAGACCTGCTACTGTGTCCACTGCTGCAGACCTGCTACTGTGCCCACCGCTGCAGACCTGCTACTGTGCCCACTGCTGCAGACACGCTACTGTGTCCACTGCTGCATACATGCTACTGTGCCCACCGCTGCAGACATGCTACTGTGCCCACTGCTGCAGACCTGCTACTGTGCCCACCGCTGCAGACCTGCTACTGTGCCCACCGCTGCAGAC